GGACAGCAGCTCCACTGAGTGTTTTTTCCATGGCGGGACGCTACGCGCAGGACAACGCCACCGCCTTTCTTTGATGCAGAGTCACTCAGTGAATCGAATGATTCCTCTGTGAAAGGCGATGCTGGAAACAACCTCGCTGCCCCTTCCCTCCTGGAGAGTGTAGTGGCGGAAGAAGAGCGGTTGAACGGATGCTCAGCCACCTCGGGTCTTCCCACGTCGGCGACCACACCGCTTCCAACCGTCAGCGCCCTCCTCTCAGAGCTGCCCGGCATAATCCAGGAGGCTGCTAACACAAAGGGATTCTCCGTCCTTCGCCTCTCTCCGCCCTGATTGGATAACCTGGCGGGAAAGTTTGGCTCTGCCCCGGTTCGTCGCCATGACCCCATCTGGCCTCGCTGTCCAGCTGTGACGTCACATTGGAACGAGGCTGCAGCTGGGCCCGGCAAGCTAAAGACATCCGTCTCCATCTTCGCCTCCATCTCCAGAGTGGAGGGTTTAACCAATCTGTGTTTTTTCCCTCGGTTCTCCCCCCTGGAGCAAAGCCTGGTGGAGGCGCTTGGGGCAAAAGCTTCTAGGATGGACCGGCAACCTATCCCTCCAGGAAAGCATGATCAGAGGGTGACAAAACTCTCCAACCGAGCTCACCAGTGCACATCCCAGGCGGTCGTGGTGAACAACAACATCGCTCTGCTGGCCTACAGCATCGCAAAGAGGTTGGAGGAAGCAGAGCTGCTGGAGGAGACAAAGAGCTCTTTCTGTAAAGCCGCTGACGTCATCTTAAACATGTGCGCCACCTCTGCGGTCTGCCTGTCCTGCATTGCTGCCCGGATGACCATGATCCAGAGGACCATCTGGCTCCACCTCTTGGCATCCTTGTCCAAGAGGCTGCAGAAAGACCTGCTGGAGGGCCCCATCACCCCAGAGGTGCTGGTCGGGGCCAAGTTCAGGACCATCCTTGAGAGATCGCAGAGGTCCGTGGAGGTCTCAGAGACTGTACTCCATCTGGTGACGTCACAGTCCTCCTCCCGCCCCTCCGGCCACTGGAGGGACCCAGCAACAGCAGCAGAGGCG